AAGAAAGTTTCTCCTCAGAACCAGCTGTCTCTCTGTCCTCCGACCCCCTCCATAACATGAATAAAAGTAGATTATCTTCTCCCTTGGTTGCAAAAAAATATTCTTCTGAGAATGATTATACCTGTCACAGATGGAACCTTGAAATAAGTTAAATGTTTAGGTTCATATTCTAGGAATTCCCTGGGGATCTGAAATCTCCATTCAATCTTTGGTAATATTGTTACTAAACTACAGGCTTTAATGCTATGCATGAGTAAAAGTAGGTCTGTTTATGGAGAAAAGAATAACAGGAAAAAGGTTTTTTTCCCCTCCCATTCCTTTTAGATACCTGAAATCTTAATGTATCATCGTTAGAACAATTAAAGATATTTTCTTCAGCAGTTAATTTTTCAACTATTGCTATGAAGATGTCCTATACTTCAAAATACTTAAGAAATCCTCAGCTAGCTGTCCAGAGGAAGCTACAAGAGAAAGGAAACTCATGCCTTCTCCAGGAAATACAATCTCTCGGGTTCACCTGTTCTCTAGCCTGCAGCATCTTCTCTCTTTTTCTCATCACTGCATTTACCTTTACAAAGTATAATGTCCTCCACAATTCTCCCACTATCATCAAAATAAAAGTGCTCGAGATAGTGTGATTGAGGGATCTTATCTCCTCTTTGTTGTCCTCTGGTCTCTGTTCACTAATTGACATATACTGTTCTTTGTGTGGAAAAGGCCCTCTCCTGCTCTCCTTTGTCTGGAGTATTCTTCGGCCCACCTCAGATATCCTTCCATTATGAAGCATTTTCTCAACCTCATCCCCAGTCACCATACATTGATAATGTATGTATTTACATACATTTCCAGTACAGTATTTATTGCACTAAACTATATTGTTCTATTAACCTGGGAGCTGCTGTGGTAAGGAAGTGACTTAGTCACTTTGGTGTCCCCAGAAGGAGTCTGGAATAGCTCCTGACATACAGCTGACAACCAGGGCATGTTTGTCCTGAATGGAGTGAAGGGCTGAGTAGCATTGTTTCTAACCCATGCATTCCATGTCTCTCACTTTTTCAATAACCTGGAACTGAGGGACTTCATTGTGCCCAAAGAGAAGTTGATCCCTCACTGGTTGATTGGTTGATTTAGTTCTGACAAAGAAGAAAAGAAGAGAGAAGAGTCTCAGGAGGGCAACAGACCCCTTTGTCCTGAAAGCTACTAGATCTCACGCCATGTGATTTTTTTCCCCTAGAACCAGGCTTGTTTTCTTGTTGGAATTGAGTGCACTGAATGTATTAGACCTGCCAAATAAATATTCTCCTTACTGTCATCAATGATAACCTATTGTTTGTAACAGTCAAATCAGCCCAAGAACATAAGTTATTTTCGGGCACTTTATAGTTTTCGTCACAAGAAAACTGTAGAGAGATATTTTAGAAACACCAACTGAAATGAAATAATTTCACTCTAATGAAATGTCCTTAGTCAAATATTCACAGTTAAAGTATATGCATTGGGATAGATTGTAAACTTCATAGACAATAGGATTTCTGACTACAGAGCAAATGAAAGTGAAAAGCCTAACTTTTTCTTTTTTCTTTCTTTTCTGTAGCCTTTCTGAGCTTCTCAGCCAGTTTCACAAGGTCAGCATTTTGAAAGGCAAGACTACCATTTAACAAGATGAAAGGGTGGGGCAGAGGGTGGGCTTTTTAGTCCAAGGCCAATAGCAGTTGTTGAGGATTAGGGAGATAGGAGTATTCTGGAGGCCACTGGTGGCAAACTTGGGTGAACTGCAGGAAGATGGCATTAGAACCACTTGGAATTATTCCTTCCTAGCATTAGTCCTTCAGCAGAGGCGATGTGGGAGAAAATGGATATCTTTAGTGACAGAAAACCTGCCTTTTGTAGAATTAAACAGAAATCTGAACTGTGAGGAATGGTTTCCTTATTGGGAAAGCTTGTACTCTGGTATTTTTGTTCTCCAGGATTTTTGTTTTAGTTAGGTTTGGAGCCCCCATTCTTTTAGATGTAGCACTTATCTATGTGAGAAATACTGAGTGCGTGCCTTTGAAATCTGGAACTTGTTATTACCAGTGATACGAAGACACAGTGGAGGGTGACTCATTTAATTTTCAAGTGACTGTTTTTCTTCATTGACATGATTATATAAATAGCTATTAGACCCTCCCTTTCCTGTGGAAAGGCCTCTCACAAATATCCAAGAGTGTAGGAAGGGCCATGGACACATGACTACCAAGTAAATAAAAACCAGTTTTCCCAATAATTTAGTTATGCCCTTCATCTGCTTCTGAAACAAAGAAACCAATAATCTAAGATTTTTTAAAGAGTAACAGAGCCACTCAAATTCTCTGACAATTTTGAAGTCTTATTGCCTACATTTTGTTCAGATTTTTGATTTACAGTTTGCACTCATCTCCTGTACCATCAGGTATTCACTGGCTCAACGGTCAGTGATAATCTTGGTGTGCAAGGCTAAAAGCTATTTGCACACTCCAACTCAGTGGGCATTATTGGTCAAGTGCTGTGGGTTAGATGTCCTCCAAAGTATTGTCATCTGATCTGCTAGAAAACTTGCTAAGTAGACATTGCTTCCATTTTGCTGATGGAGAAACTGAGATTTGGGACACTCAGATATCTTGTTTGCTATTGTAGAACAAGAAGCTCTTTTGCCTCATAGGCAGAGATCTTCCACATTGCCCGTGTTTAGGATCACATGCTTCCTTACTGATCCTGGTAAAGGTGACTATGTGCTTTGCACTTTATCTTTTTCTTGTCTCCTTCCTCCAATGCTAGGTCCCCTTTCCCAGGGCCCAACATCTTCTCTAACAGACAGGAACTCTGCTAGCAAACAGAATGCCCCAAGGTGATCTGCTTGATAGTTAGAGGGCTTTGGGCTTTCCTGTTTTATTTGTATTCTTTAAAAATGTAAAAAAAAAAAAAACCCACAAACAACAAAAACAAAGACTTCCATTCTGGGCAGTGAAGGAGTGATAGGAACTCCATGCTTTGGACCTCTGTTGCCTAACCTGTAACATGGTGACTGAGATGATCTGATTCCCATGTTTCTTTTAATTCAGTGTGATGGTTTCATGGTGGGATTTAGAATGGAGCACTTAGCTGGGAGACTTTAGTTCAGAATGAATGTGTCTTGGCTCCTGAAACTATGCTATACTTAACTGTGCACTTAACTGGGGATGCCCTGGTGGTCTGTGAACTCATGTTCAAACTTGCATGGTACCTGGTGCTAACTTTCTGATTTTACAATTTGATCTCCAATCACCTCAATGGGATCAGAACACAAACCATCCCACCTGTAACATCTGGCCTGTTCTCCTGCTCTTTGGATGTGTTAGGAATCCATACTATCCTTTCTCTTTGCCTCTGGGGGTCCTGTATCCACCAGAGGCTGTCAAGTCCTCTCTTCCTGACAGGGACACTTAAGCACACAGCCCTAAGGTTGACTGAGTTCACCCATCCCAGAAAAATGGTTGCTTACCTTTCCCTTGTCTGGATGAAATGTAGCTCAGAGAACCTTCAGGCGCAAACCTGGGTTTTCATGCAAAAATGATGTTACAAAAAGTACCCAGATGCCATTCAGGGACATGAGTCTGAATGTCCCTGTTGTGGCTCAAGGGAATGGCGCTTGTATCACGAAGCCAGCACTGGCACCTGGGCCCTGTCACAGCTGACAGGACTGAGAAGAGGTCAGCTGCTGGCTGCTATACCCAGAGCAGGTCCCAGAGGACTAGGCAGAGGCAAGAGGCCTAGGAAGCTGCCTGCTTTGCTGGCTCTCTGGGCTGCTCTAGAGACAAATCGAGGACTTCCATCTCTATTACTGTCACAATCTGGCACTTCTCACCAGCTCTGAAATTCACAGCCATAGAGGGAGGAGGGAGAAGAAAGGAGGTGCAAGCCAGACAATCAAATACAGCCACAATATTTTGGAAGTGGAATCTTCCAGCTAGAGAGCATTCTCAAAAGCATAGAACTGTAGGGCTGCAAAAAGCCTCAATAAACCCAGCATATTTATTTTGGAGAAGGGATAGTTGAAAGTAGAAAGACAAAGTGACTTCACCAAGTCATTTGCAAGATCTGTAAGTGGCAGAACTAAGATAAGGATCTGGGTCTCTGGTGAGCTACAAAAACCTCAAAAGAGGTTTATTTTTAAAACCAAAAAACAATCAAGGCTGGGTGCTGGTGGCTTAAGCCTGTAATCCTAGCTACTCAGGAGTCGGAGGACTTAAGCTCCAAGCCAACCCCAGCCTAAAAGTTTCTTATCTCCAATTAACCAGCCAAAAAACATTCCAGAAGAGGAAGTGTGGCTCGAGTTATAGAGCACCAGCCTTGAATAAAAAAGCTGAGGTACATTAGCTGGGTGCTGGTGGCTCATACCTATAATCCTAGCTACTCAGGAGGCTGAAATCTGAGGATCATGGTTCAAAGCCAGCCTGGGCAAGAAAGGCCATCAGACTCTTATCTCCAATAAACCACTAGAAACCCGGAAGTGACACTGTGGTTCAAGTGGTAGAGAACTTGCCTTGGGCTGAAGAGCTGAGGGACAATGTTCAAGCCCAGAATTCAAGTCCCATGACCGACTCCCCCCCTCCCCCCAGGTACAGTACCTGGGCCTTGAGTTCAAGCCCCAGTACAAGAAAAGAAAGAAAGAAAGACAGAGAGAGAGAGAAAGAGAGAGAGAGAGGGAGGAAGGGGAAGGAAGGAAGGAAGGAAGGAAAGAAGGAAGGAAGGAAGAGAGGAAGGAAGGAGGGAAGGAAGGAAGGAGGGAAGGAAGGAGGGAAAGAAGGAAGGAAGGAAGAAAGGAAGGAAGGAAGGAAGGGAGGGAGGGAGGGAGGAAGGAGAGAGAGGAAGGAAGGGAGGAAGGAGAGGAAGGGAGAAAGGAAGGGAAGAAGGAGAGGAAGAGGAGGAAGAAGTTGCTCAAAAGAGACAGGATGCTCCCAGAAGCTTCCTGGGTTGAGCTGGGTGCAGTGGTGAACTCCTACCTTGCAAGTTGACACCCCGGGGCACCAAGCCCACCAGCTCCTCAGTGGGAAGGTTGGCTTCAGCTGCATTGGAGTTGTTGAGTGGGACTGCTCTTCTGCCCCCGAAGGTGGTGCTGGTAGTATCTGACATTGTCAGCTTTTCAAGATCCTTGGAGGTGTAGGAAAGAGAGAGAAAGATAGGGGAAAGGAATGGGAAATGAGTTTCATTTGAAACCGGGATTCAAAAACAGAGAAGCAGACATATCTGTGTAGGATAGTACTCAAGCAACACATTTTGAGTTTGTATAAATAAACCCTGAGAAGCAGCATCACCGAGGATTCGCGATGGAGTATATTCCCCAAGGATCTTGGGTAGACTTTGTGTTTGTCAAAACATAGGGCAAGCAGGAGAAAGATTTTATTTGAAGAAATTAAAATTTTCAAAGATTTTCAGAAAGTGGGATTTTCCTGTCCCTATTTGTTCTAAAGAAAATACTTGGATAGGAAATATTGTCATTTTTGTGTACCAGTTCCCATCTCATGAAGATCTGTATTACCTAAATCTCTCTGAAGGTTAAACTCACTCAGTCATGTCCAGATTGATGGTTCTCCAAAGTGTTCACATTTGCTATCTAATGAAAGCAGTATTTATTGAGCACCTACTACACTCCAGGCTCTGATATAGGTACTTGAATAGATACATGAGAGACCAAGGTGGCATTTCTGCACATTGTTTATGGTAGAGGAGAGAGGAGTCTGACATGAATCGTAAGTAAATCAAGTTGGGTGTGAAAGATGTGAATTGCGTTGGAATTTGCACCTGGTGAAGGGTATTTGGGAGAGGAAGAGATTAGGTGCTTGGGATGTGGGCCCAGGCCTGTCACACACTGTCCTCTAGCCTATTTAGACAGAAGTGCTACCCTTTTCCCCATCTGGAGTTTGTGCAGTCACTGAATCAGTCTAAACACCACTCCCTTACCATCAGTGACCAGTAAGTATTTTGTTGACCAACTGGCTAAATGAATGAGGACTTTGTTTCACCTACATCACCTAGTTGTGATTTCTGGAAACTTAGCTGTTTTCAACCCAGGCATGCCCTCCAAGAAGAAGAGGAGGTGCTCTTGTAGAATCAGCTAGATTGGATGGTTCCAGAAACACATGGAGTGATAGAACAAGACTGAGGACAAGAGGAGCACTTGGTCTTGGAAGGATAAGATATTAACTGGGATTCATAAATACATATACACACTCAGCCAGGTTAAGCCAAGTCAGGAAGGGAGGCGAGAGAAAAGATTTTAGTGAAGGAAGAGATGTAGGAAAAGGAAGCCTTCGGGTACAAAGTAGCCCAAACAGCCTGCAGGATACCTAGGGTGGGTAGGGTTTGGGGGAAAAAATAGCTCAAAACTGCTAAGCAGCTTGTTGGGAAAGAAAACAGGTGGAGAACTGGGGAGATCAGAATCTAGCCAGAGAGAGTGGCTGCAGGCATGGTTGAGTGAATGCAGGTGGACAGAAACTGCCTCTCTGGGTTGGTCTGGGGGAAGAGGAACAGGAGAGGTTCGAGGTCAACTCCCGCCTTGGAGAAGGCAATGGGATGCAGGAGGAGATGGGCTAGGAGAATGCTGGGTTCCATCTTAGCACCTGCCCCAACCCGCCGTGTTTCCCACTCCCTGCAGTCTGCTTTCCTAAGGAAAGGGAACTTGTGCTTTGGGAGAGAAACCCCGCTACCTCATTCCCATTTGATAGCCTTAACAAGTAGTGCCTTCATGGAATCCCTAACAGAAGTCCTCCTTAGAAGTGACCTGTCATCCCAGCTACCCAGGAAACTGAGATCTAAGGATCACAGTTCAAAGCCAGCCCAGGCAGAAAAGTCTATGAGTCTTCTTTCTCTGTTTAGCAAAAAGCTAGAAGTAGATGTGTGAATCCGAGATAGAACTTTAAAAAAAAAAGCCAAGAGAAAGCATGAGATTCTGAGTTCACAAATAAATAAATTAAGCCAGGTGCCAGTTGTTCATGCCTGTAATCCTAGCTAACCAGGAGGCTGAGATCTGATGATCATGGTTTGAAGCCAGCCTACGTAGGAAAGTCCATGTGACTCTTATCTCTAAGAAGCTACTCTGAAAAAGCCAGAAGTGGAGCTGTGGCTCAAGTGATAGAGCATTAGCCTTGAGCACAGAGAGGCTCAGAGACAGAGCCCAGGCCCTGAGTTCAAGCCCCAGGACTAGCAATAATAATAATAATGATAAACAATAACAATAATACTAGTAATAATAAGTTAATTAAGGAAAAAAGAGCTGAGCTGATCTATTCCAAGCCAGGTATGAAGAGCTGGAATTGAACATGTTGGAATTGAAAACTAGAAGTAGAGCTGTGGTTCAAGTGGGAGAGCACCAGCCTTGAGTACAAAAAGCCAAGTGAGAGTAGCCAGTGAGTTCAAGCCCGCAGTACTGACACACACACACACACACACACACACACACACACACACACACACTCCACTCCCAGCCCCAGAGCACCCATCCAAGCATCTGCACAGAAATGGAGGTGCAGCAGGCAAGAAAGGGACAGCTTCAGAGCTATGGGTGCTGGCTTACCTGCCTGCACTTCTGGGGTGATAGATGCACCCTGTGAGTCTGGCTGCTAGCTCTGGGCAGCTGGGTACTTCCTTAAAAGGAGACATGAAAAAGGACCCAAAGGTTGGCTCAATTTAAATAACTTTCTAGCTGCTCCCACCCTCTTCCCCATCCCATGAGGTTTTCTCCTCCCACTTCTTGACAGCTGGAGCCAGCAGAGTAGCTTCTAGGAGTTTCCATTTACTTGGGCTGCCCTGCTCTGCCTGTTATTTGGGAATAAGTTCCTTCCTCCCCTCCTCTCCTACCTCTCTGGCTCCCAATTTCCTGTTCTTCCATCTCCCCACCATCCCACTCCCCAGTTCTGCTTCCCCTCTCCTCCCATGGCTGCTGGGAGTGACAGGCAAATGGCCCTGAAGTGCCAGGCAGTGCCCCTCCTCTCCCTTGCCAGGCATCAGCAGGGCCCTTCACAAAGCATGCTTTGCCACTCAGGTTGGCTGGCGTACTTGGCAGAAAGGTGGGTCTGACCTCTGGCAGACAGGTCACAAAACAGTGGTGATCATGCATAAAGGGAGAGCAGTGTGTCCTTCTTGTGCAAATAAGGCTGTTGTCTTGAATCATCCAGTGAGCCTCAGCCATCAGCAAACCACAAAACTTCCTGCAGAACTGAGATGTCTGTCCATGCAGCCCTGGGGAGCCATGAGTAAATACTTGAAGAGTGCCACACAAATTAGAAAATAACACTTTGTTTTTCTCCCTGAAAACCACCGTGGTGTAGCTTCAAAAAATAAAAGGAGAAAAAAATAGAGAAAAAGAGAAGAACATTTTCTTCCTAAAATTTTCCATAATTTTATTTCAGTCTCTGTGTCTCTATCCCTATTTCCAGTCTTGGTTATTTCTAAGCTTCTATTCTGTTTTAAAATGTCTGCTCTTGCCATTTTATCTACAAATTTCAGAGAGCAAAGGAGAGGAAGAGGGGAAGAGGGGGAGAGGGATAAAGACAGACAGAGAGAGAGAGAGAGAGAGAGAGCTCTGGTTAGAAATTCTTTTTACCAAATCTATGAACTTGTCTGCCACTTCACCTAATTTTCCATTTTCTTCAAGAGGCTAAAGTGAAAACATCTCCCTCTACTCACTACATGTCCAAACCAAGTGCTCTGCATCCTTTTGCCCTGTTTCATGTCACCTCCTTTGCTAGGGCTTTGTTGTCTTCCTTATCCAGTCTTCTCTCTATCTCCAAGCTGCTGTTGCCTCATAGCTGCTTCCTGCCAGCATTGACACAACTTCAAGTCAAGTTCTTCAATATTTTTTAAAGCCTTCCTTCAACTTGGGCCCCTGCAGCTATTACTCCTTCTCCCTGCTCCCCTCTGTCACCCAGCCCCTGCCATCTGGCCTCTACATTGATCATTCTACTAAAACTGTAGGTCAAGGTCCTGTTTTAGTCCATTTTATTGTGATAAAAATGCATGAGAGTGGAAAATTTTCAAGGAAAATGATTTATTTAATTCATGCTCCTGGAAGTTAGGAAGTATAGGTGGCCTCAATTTATTTTTTTTAAATGATACCACTCTCATGGCAACTAACCCAGTCCAGTGAGAACTACATTTGTCCCCTTTAACAATGTAATCATGTCCTAAAAGTTCCATTTCCTCTCAGCACTGTAGCATGAGAACCAAAGGTCACACAAGATTGAAAGGAACAACCGACATCCTCACCCCAACAGTCTCTTGTGATTTGTGCTCAAGAAACAGGACAAGATTCAGTCCTCATTTATTTTATCTTTGGGAAGCATTAAAGTCCATTGCCCACTCTCTCCTTAAAGATCTTTCCCTGTGGCCTCAGTGGCAACACGTACATTCAGCCGTTGCCTCCAGAGTAGCACACGACCTTAGTCATCTCAGCAATTCTGATGGTCTTCCATGTCCATCCTTATGCTTCCCACATCTGGATCTCCATCCAAGGTCTTTTCCAGATCTGTAGATTACTTGAGGTGGCAGCCTGCTGGTTGTATCCACTTGGCATGATCAAGTGATAGCCCTATTCATCATCTCCAAATGGAATGGACAATTGTCCCTGAAAACCAGACGCATCTCAGACGTTCTCTGTATCTGTGGATGTGATTACCAGGCCAGACACATCAGTCTCAACACTTCCTTCTCCTCTCCTGCCATCCTGAAATACAACCCTTTATTAAATGTTTCCCATACTACCCCTGTAACTACTCTTGAATGTACCCACTTACCCCCACCTAATCCCTTCTGTACAAGGCAGTCACTCACCATGTGCTTTATGGGGCTGAAATGTTGTACCCAAAGCTCTTCTGTGGCCATTTAGCTTTGCTTTTGTGTGTGTGTTTTTTGGGGGTCCAGTCGTGGTTCTGAACTCTGGGCCTGAGCACTGTCCCTCAACTCTTCAGCTCAAGGCTAGCGCTCTACCACTTGAGCCACAGCGCCACTTAGGCTTTTTTCTTTTTGCTTATGTGGTGCTGAGGAATCGAACCCAGGGCCTCATGCATGCAAGGCAAGTGCTTTACCACTGAGCCGCCTTCCCAGCCCCTTAGCTTTGCTTTTAAGGTGAACTCTAAACATCAACCAACAAGGGCCCGCACAAGCTCAACCCTGCTTGGCTGTCCAGCCTTATTAAGTCAGCCTGTGAGAACAGTACCTCCCGCCTTCCTCTTCTTGAAAAACGTCAGGTAGCCCCTCACCAGAAATGATCTGCCTGAAACCAGTAATCATCTGCCCATCAATCACCTGACTGTGAGGTTAGCAAAGGACCCCAGACTCTGGGGTCACTTCCTCATCTGCTGAGGTCACCTCCAGACCTGCCCTGCTCACACCTCCTTCCGACAGTGAGAGGTTCCCCAGGCTCTGAGATCACTTCCGCATCTGCTGCTGTAGTCTCTCACCTTTCTTTATATAATCCCACTCAACCGTAAATCCTGCCCGGTTCTCTTCCCCTCTCCCCTTCCCCGTTTTTCTCCTGTCTCCCTGCATGCCTCCATCTCTCATGCAGTCCAGCCATTTGCTCTCCCTCCAATAAACTCTTTTCTGCCTGAACCAGGGGGCAGATTCCTTTCACTGAGCCTTACAAGCCCCATCTCCTTCATGCTCTCTGGCCACTCTGCCTCGCTCCCCAGCCCCTCTTGGTCTCTGTTCCAGCCATAGTAAACCTCTTAGTTTGAGCTTCCTGTCAGAAACCCACTGCACTCCTCCTCTTGCCACAAGATTATTTCCCATTGACTCTCTAGAGTCTAGCCTACACTACTTTGATGCTCTGCAAGGGGTTGCCTTGTTATTGGGCTCCTGGTGCTTCAAGGTCACTTCTTGTTTCTTGGCTATACCCTTACAGATGACTAGGATATAGACACACAAACTAGAGATTCTCAAAGGTAGATGGATGACCATTCAACTCCCTAAAGCCCATTCTTTCCATAGTCTTTGTTGAGGCCAAAGTTCCTAGCATAAATCTCATTATGTTCTGATAGTTCTCCCACCAACGTCAGGCCTGAGTAACAAGGCCTCCTAGTTGCTCTCACCAGTGTAAGGTTTGAGAAACAAGCTTTTTTGATGCCAACAGAGATGCCAATGTCCTGCTGAGTTGTGCATTCAGGGCAGACCTCTCACCCTCCTAAGTACCAACACAGTGCCATTTTTCATCTGAGACTCACTGATGGTCTAGTAGATTCAGATTAGCTTTCTCCTAACCATTCACCCAGTACTATTATAAATGCTATACTTTTTCTCGTGCTTAATAGGATAGTCAGCAACATCAAGCCCCTAGCACATGGTTGAAGCCCATTGATCCTAGAGAGCATTGCTTCATGTTCCAGTGGCTTAGAATTCACAACAAAGGTTCTTGGCCATATAACCCAGCTTGAGCTGTGCAGAAGGTGTCATTTCTGCTGAAGCAACCTGGGTGCATAAACTCTGAGCTCCCTAAGGATGAAAGGTATTATTTGTATTTGAATGCCCTTCTCAGAGCAGGAAGGAGGCACAGTGGAGGAATTCAAGGAATGTAGCAGGGTAGATCAAATTAGGAAGACAAAATCCACTTTAGATATTCTTTTTTTTTTTTTTTTTGTCAGTCATGGAGCTTGAACTCTGGGCCTGGGTACTCTTCAGCTCAAGGCTAGCACTCTACCACTTGAGCCTTAGCACCACTTCCAGTTTTCTGGTGGTTTATTGGAGATAAGAGCCTCATAGACTTTCCTGCCTGGGCTGGCTTTGAACCTCAACCCTTAGATTTCAGCCTACTGAGTAGCTAGGATTACAAGCGTAAGCCACTAGTATCCAGCTTAGATATTATTTGTTGTTTTTTGTTTTGTTTTGTTTTTTGTCAGTCATGGGGCTTGAACTCTGGGCTTGAATGCTGTCCCTCAGCTCTTCAGCTCAAGGCTAGTGCTCTACCATTTGAGCCACAGCACCACTTCCAGTTTTCTGAGTGGTTTATTAGAGATAAGAGTCTCATGGACTTTCCTGCCTGGGCTGGCTTTGAACCGTGGTCCTCAGATCTCAGCCCCCTGAGTAGCTAGGATTACAGGCAAAAGCCACAAGAGCCCGGCTCTTAGATATTCTTTTACAGATGAAATTTGACACAAGAAATGTGACATGGGAGAATTTGTTACAAAGGAGGTAGCAGAGACAAAAAGCCACACAGGAAAATTAGTCAAGTCCACAATTAACAACAAAATAGTTGCTGTTATCAGAGATTAAGGGCTGAGGTTATGTGGCAGGACCTGGATCTCTGCACCAAGTCCCTGTCTGGCAGGAAACTGAAGTTCAGTCCTTACAGGTGTTGTAAGGTAACTTGATTGACCTGATATGGAGAAGTCACGTTTTGAGAGGCTGAATTGGGAGTCTTTATTGGAAAGCTAGTAGCTGCAGGTAGACTCTGGTCCCAAAGACCTACAGCCCAGAATAGAGCTAGCACATCACTTTTAAAATGATGTAAATGGTAAATAATGCTGCAATGAACATAGTTGTGCTGGTAGCTTTAGTGCAGTATTGTTTGTGGTCTTTTGAGTAAATGCCCAGGGGTGGGATTATATTCATGAGCATGATGAGACTAACCAAAAATTAATAAAGGAACTCAT